CGTTCATTTAACTTGTGCTTTGTAGATGATTGAAGGACTTTGGGAAGCCAGAAGATAAACCATTCACTACAGAATTCCCAGCTTTAAACAACTCTTGTTATTACAGAATTTGTGTGGTTGGTCCATTTAAAGGTTTTGGTCAGTGATGACCCCTGGATATTGATAGTGGGGTGTTCAACAATGGGTAATGACATGGAATGTCAAGGGAATGATAGGTGTTGCTTATAGTTTCTCTGATTAGAGAATAGCATTGCAAGGCACTTCGTTGGCAAGACTGGTAATTGTCAATATTAGCCCAAGTTTAAATGTTACCTGGATCTTGCTACATGTGAACATGGACTGCTTTAGCATCTGAGTAGTTATGAATGGAATGGAACACATTGTAATCAGAAAAATAATACCAATTTCCAACCTCACTGTAGTGATTGTAATGAAATCAGACAGTTAGACCTCATAGAAGATGAGTTCCCTCAGTAGGGCTGTTAATCTGGCCTTGAAACAGCAAAAGTGTCACACTAGACCTAAACTGAGTTAGAGAACTCACAGGCCTGTATCCAGGAGAGTTCATACCCTGAAAGTCCACCTGCATCTGGTTTGGAACAACTAAATTGCTTCACAACATCAACATCAGAACGAATCAAGATAAACATCTGGTTAAATAGTCACCTGGTTCTAATGGAGTGATACCTGTGCAGCTGTCTCAATGTTTGCAGAACCATTTTTTAACAAACTTCACTCTGACTCCAGCCTTAACTTTATGTAAAATCTCAGCAACGCTGAACATTTAAACCAGGGAACCTTTACAGATTAAAGGTACAACTTTGGCTTTGGTCTCTTATGAAAAGCAGCTGGTTCAGTTACCAGTGATTGTTGTAAAAGGCTCGGCCCAAGATTGATGGGGTGAAATTGGTTGCAAGAGAATCAACTAGATTGGCTCAACAGTTTTCAATTCCAGGAAGGTGTGGGGACTATCAGAGGAGCCAAGACCACCGTGCATGTTGACCAGGAAGCAATTTCATGATTCTGCAAGGCCTGCCCAGTGTCATTTGCCTTATGGGCAAAAGTGAAGGCAGAAATCAGAAGGGTGGAAAGTGAAGGAATCATCAAACCAGTCCAATTTGCAGAATGGACAGCACCAGCCATACTGATTTTGAAGCCTGACAACTTAGTTTGCCTTTGTGGAGATTTTAAATGCTAAACCAATTTTCGCAGGCTGGATAAATACCCAATCCCTCAGGATTTATACGCAGAGCTGGTGGTGGTGGGGGGAGTGCTATCCTTCATGAGGCTGGACATGAGCCACACTTACTTGCAATTGCGTTTTGACCAGGATTCCCAGAAGTATGCTACAAGTAATACTCATAAGGGCTTGTACCAATATACGAGACTGCCATTTGGGGTATCATCAGCCTGTTCAATTTTTTCAGCAGTTGATGGAGAACATTTCGCAAAGTGTACCTCATGTTGCCATTTACTAGATATCGTCCCAATAACTGAAAACTAATAAGAATCACATAGAGAACTTGCGTATAGTTGCAGGGCGTTTTTCCAAGGCAGGCATATGCCTAAAGTGGGGAAAAAAGTGAGGGTGGTCAAAGGTGCCTCGGCTCGCATATCTGTCCAGGAACTTAGATCATTTCTTGATCTGGTAAATTGTTACAGAAACTTCATACATAACATGGATTCCATCCTGGCACCTTTTGCATCAATTCCTAAAAAAGGGGCGCCTTGGAAATAGTTGTAATAGACAGGCACTAGCATTCATTGAAGTAAAGAAACAGCTATCATCCTCTAAGGTGTTGGCACCCTATGATCCCAAGAAAGATCTGGTATTGACATGTGATGCCTCTCCATATGGCATCGGGATGGTATTAGCTCATAGGTGACCCAATGGAGAGGAACACTCAACGGTGTTTGCATCAAGGACTTCAGCTAATGCAGATCGTAAATGTGCCCAGATAGAGAACAAAGGATTGGCAGGCACATTTGTAGTCAGGAAATTCTACCAATAGTTTTACGGATAAAAATTTATGATAATCATGGACCACAATTCCCTACGTGGTCTGCTTAAAGAGGAAAGGCAGTGCCATCCATTGCTTCGGGCTGCATTCAGTGGTGGGCTCCGCAGCATACTAAGTGCTTATAATTAATTACAAGTTAGAACATTGTCCAAGAGGCTGAGTAGTGAGTGCAGATGCATCTTCAGTGGTATCCTCAATAGAGTCATAGAGTCACACAGCACGGAAACAGACCCTTCAGTCCAACTCGTCCGCACTGGCCAGACATCCGAATCTGACCTAGTCCCATTTTCCAATATTTGGCCCATATCCGTGTAAACCTTTCCTATTCATAGACCAATCCAGATGTCTTTTAAATGTGAAAGTCTTTTATGATATTAAATTCTTTGGACACACTCCCTGTTATAGCTGACAATATCAGACTTCGGACACAGAAAGATTCAGTCCTTTCAAAACTGAAACAATTGGTATTGGTGGGGGAAACCAAAGGGCCATCACAATGAGAACTGAGAACTTTCTGGACCCAAAGACACCAGCTTACGGTGGAAGCATATTGTTATGAGGAGCAAGAGTGATTGTCCTGAGCAAAAGTCATTGTCAAATAATGGCTGAACTCCACCAGGGCTGTACAGGGGTCTCGAAAATGAAGATGTTGGCAAGAAGTTATGTCTGATGGCCAGGCTTGGATTCAGACATAGCTGCATTGATGGGGCGGTCCACAGTGTCAACAAGGACAAAAGTTATCAGCAGCAGCTCCCCCACATCTATGGGAATGGACAGTTAAACCTTGGACTCAGTTGTACGTTGACTATGCAGATTCTTTCATGGGTTTAATGTTCTTAGTCATAGTAGATGCCCAGTCAAAGTAGTCAGAGATCCAAAGGGTCCATTCGTCAAACACTGGGACAACAATAGAAAAACTGTGTGCATCTTTTTCAATACATGGAAGTGTTGGTCACAGAGAACAGGCCATCATTTACAAGCAGAGAATTTGTTTATTTCTTAAGGTCGAATGGGATTCGACAATACAAAGACAGTTCCATACCATCCATCATCCAATGGCCTGGTAAAAAGAGCAATCTAAACTTTGAAGGCTGGCTTGAAAAAACAGCCTACAAGCTTGCTAGATACCACACTGTCACGATTCTTATTTGATTAAAGGACCACCCCATGCAACCTCAGGGATAGCACCAGCAGAGTTGCTAATGGGTAGAAGACTTTTTTGTGCTACGGTAAGTCCGATCTTCCCAGACCTGGGGTGAACTGGCATCAGGAATGCCAAGGCTGGACAGAAGACTCCGCCAAGCAAGCCAGACTGTTTGTTTGACACAGGGGACGAAGTCTGGTCTAAGCATCACGGAAATGGCCTTGTGTGGGTGACAGGCATGGTTGACATGACCAGTGACACATAAAGTTCAGGTAGGTGCAAAGGTCCTGAACAAGCACATGAAAGCTGCAAGTTCACAAACAGCGGGGGAGCAAAATGTGCCCTGTCCATCAGAACAGTCAGAAAGGCTGCCAATACCTCTGGCCCCTTTCCGTCAAGCATTGTTGAGTCCTCAGATTCATAGATGGACATGATGGATACAGCCACCTTGATGCCTTTGCCACTGGAAAGAGAGTGAAATTTTACAGAGGTGCAGGAGGCAAGCTCCCATGCATTATACGCCATCCATATCAGAGGAACCTGACCCAATGCTAAAATGCCCAAGGAGTGCCTCCAAGAAAAAGGACCTACCTACGTCCTCGGACTCAGAGCGGAGGGATCTAGTGATTTTAACAAGGTCAGTAAGCTGGACCTCTTAGAATATTAGTTCCCTGATTGAATCAGATTAACAGTCCCAATCAGGGAGCCCTGGCTGATATCTGTATCTGTAAAATCTTCCTTACTTTCCTGTCTTGACACCATCACCTTTATAAATTGTTATGATCTCTCTACCTTAATTAGTTTGTACAGTTTCGAATTACATATTACACTGTCTGACATATACATACTCTCTCGCTCACACACACACAAACAACATCCCCCCTGCCCCACCAATGGAGTGAACCATTTCACCCAAGATGTGTGTTTATTTGCAGAAACACTTTACACACCGTCTAACACTCTTGGTCACTTGCTGAGACTTATCATCTGACACTCCACTCACACCAGTTGTATGATCTTTTGATCTCTCTGCGTGTCCAGCTGTCTCACTGCACCTGACGAAGGGACTGTGCTCCAAAAGCTTGTGTGATTCCAAATAAACCTGTTGAATGTTAGAGTTGAGAGCCTAATAATTAGAGTAGGATGAGTTGATTAAGGCATTATGCAACTGAGTTTTACAAACCTGAAAGGCCTTGATCTGTTAAAATGCAAATTAATCTCAGTTGAGTCAGTAAACACAATTACCCTAATATCCTAATGACAAGGAAGAACAGAAAAAGAACAGCTTTGGTTTTACTCCCAATCAATACATGGGGGTCTTTCTCATTGTGTGCATGTGCACATACATCATTTTGCATCAAGCAAGCAAAGGATGCCCTCCAAGGGTGGGCAGTCTGCCAACACCCAACAGAAGGACTTGAATGAGTTAAGACCATTTGGGGGAGGTACCAATTTTAACAATACCACATAGACAGCAGTGATTAAAAAAAAGCAGCTCATCACCATATTCTTAATGGAAACGAGGGATGGGCAATAAATACAAATCTGTCAGTGATGTACATATCTCATCAGTGCGAGAATAAAAAACTTGTGTTTCTGCTGTAACTTCAGCAAGAAGCAACATTGATAAAAGAAAGCAGTGAGGTTGGAAAACTCTGGAAAATATAAATAAAAGTTTTTTTTAAAAATTCTAATTTTGAAAGTACTTTTAGAACAAAAACACAGCACCTTATTTGAAGAGACACTAAGCGTCTCATGTGTTTGGAAGACATTACTTCAATGAAGATTAGTATAGCTTGGAAGTTATACTCTGAACTATTGCAATTTGTATGTACCTATGGTCCAGAATGTTTACACGAGATGAAGGGATCCCCAGAAGACCACAGCTCTGCAGAAGTTCCTTCTTCCGAATCTCCCCTTGCTTGTAGAAGTTCCCTGAAAATATGAAATATAAGCAACTTATAAACAGCAACTACATTTTTCATTATGTAAAATGATCTCATGTACGACAATCCTGTACTTGGAAGATTTTGTAGGGCACAGGAATGAATCTTAGAGTTATACAGCATAGAAACTCTTCGGCCTACCATGTCTATGCTGACCAACAAACACCAAACTACATTAATCCCATTTACCTGCACTTGGTCCATAGCCTACTGTGCCCTGGCATTTCAAGTACTCATCCAATGCTTCTTAAATGTTGAGAGTACCTGCCTCCACCAACCGCTCAGGTTGCACATTCCATATATCTAGCACCCTCTGAGTGAAAATAACTTTTCTCAGATCTCCTCTAAACCACTTGCTCCTCACCTTAAACTTATGCCCTTTGTTCTTAGACACGACTGCCATGGGGAAGAGATCCTCACAATCTACTGTTGTGCCTCTCATAATTTGGATAGTTCAATTAGATCCTGCCTCAGTCTTCTCTGCTCCAATGAAAACAAAGAGCAATATAGCACAGGAACACCATGCAGGCACCGATTCCTACTCCTTATTTAGACCCACTACTTATTGCCCTTATGCAGTTTCTGTCCCCCTGTTCGCTTCCCATACACGTCTATCAAGATATGCCTTAAACATTGCTAAGGTGCCTGCTTCCACCAGCTTCACTGGCAGTGCATTCCAGACACCCACCCCACTCTGTATGGAACATTTTCCCTCCTAAACGTCCACCGCTCTCACCTGAAACCTGTGCCTTCTTGTAGTTGACCTTTCCACCCTGGGAAAAAGCCTCTGACTATCCACCCTATTTATGTCTCTCATAATTTTGTAAACCTCAATCAAGTCCCACGTCAGCCTCTATCTTTCCAGTAAAAACAATCCAAGTTTATTCAAACTCTCCTCATACCTAAAGCCTTCCAGACCGAGCAACATTTTGGTAAACTTTCTCTGCACCCGACCAGTGCAATTGCGTCGTTCTGATAGTGTGGCAACCAGAACTGTACACATTATTGTCTCTTTGGCCAAACTAATGTTTTATAAAGTTGTAACAAGATTTCCTTACTCCTACGCACTATGCCCCAGCTAATGAAGGCAAGCATCCTTGCTTAACTACCCTATGCTGACAACTTCAGGGATCTGTGGACTTGTACATAAATGTCTTAGTTCTCCCTTCAGACCTACCATTCATTGTGTACGTTTTTCTCTTATCAGACTTCCCAAAGTGCATCACCTTACACTTATAAGGATCAAATTCCATCTGCCATTGTTCTGCCTATCTTACCAGTTGATCAATATTGGACTATAGCGTGATATCATCCTCCTCACTGTCAACAATACCTCCAATTCCTGAATCATCTGCAAACTTATTAATTAAACCTTCTATATTCACATTCAAGTCATTCATGTACAGAACAAATAGCAAGGGTCTCAAAACTGATCCCAGTGGTGCATCGTTGGCCACAGGCTTCCAATGATATAGACAACCCTCCACTATCACCCTTTGTCTCTTATCTGTAAGCCAATTTTGCATTCAGTTTGCCAACTTGCCTTGGATTTCATGTGCTCTTATCTTTTAGACCAGCCTTCCATGTGGGACCTCATCAAAGGCCTTACTAAAGTCCATGTAAACTGCATAAACTGCAATACCCTCATCAATATATTTAGTCACATTTTCAAGAATCTCAATTAGTCAGACATGATTTCCCCCTAACAAATACATGCTGACTATTCAAGATGAATCCCTGCCTTTCCAATTATTGATTAATTTTGTCCTTCAGAGTTTTTTCCAATAATTTCCCGACTATTAACGTTAGACTAACTGGTCAGTAATTATTTGGCCTATCCCTACTGCCCTTCTTGATAAAGGGAACCACATTAGTTATCCTCCAGTAACCTGGCTTTCACCTATGGCTAGCGAAGTATTAAATATATCCACCAGAGCCCCAGCAATCTATTCTCTTTACTCCTATTTTGATGGGGTCTGTGAGGACCAAAGACCTCGCCTGAGGTTCATGATTATTAGATTGAATAGAAGTCACGGAGTAATAGCTTTTTTGTTAAGGAAAACTTTTTCTTTATTGCACATGAGTATGTAAAGTGGAATATAGACATCCCTTCATGTTTGGAGTGAAACAAGTTCCAATATTTAATATGTGTGTATTTCCAAATATATGTCCAACGTGAAAATTTGCAGTATTAGCATTTTGATTGAATCTTTGGTCTTCAGGATCTAAATTTGGAACCTGTTCAGCAAGCCTATGTGTCTCTGCTTTCTTACCTTGTTCTTCCTTCCGCTATATAGTACAAGGTGCTGTGTAAGGTGCTTCCTTGGTAATAACAGATGTTGTTTAGCAAAGGAAGCCGAAATCCAGCACTCTGGAAAATTTAACCAACAGAAAAATGGAGTATACTTTCCATATCACTACTTTTATTCTCCTTGTACTCATTAATTAGATGCCATATTACCAATTTTAACTGTTTAGTGAGATATTTCTTGGAACCAAAGCTTTTATTGAACAATGAGGTGGTCACATTATATACACACTGGATCAATAATTTTTCAATTGCATTCTCAACTCAAGGACACAGATTTAATATAAATGACAAAAGAACCAGAAAGGATATGAGAGATGATTATAGGCAGGTTATGATGATCTGAAAGGCTGGTTAAGCAAATGTAGCAATAATTTTCAAAGGTAATTGCAAGAATTGTTAAAAAGGAAACATTTGCAGGGCTATAAGAAAGCTGGCTTAAATTAGATTTCAAAAAGCTAGTACAGGCATGAATAATCTCCATAGAAACCATACAAATGATTTTATTTTCTTTATTCATTCACGGGATGAGGCCATTGCTGGCTAGGCAGTATTTATTGCCCAGAGGGCAGTTCAGCGTCAACCACATTGCTCTGGGTCTGGAGTCACATGTAGGCCAGACCAGGTAAGGATGGCAGTTTCCTTGCCTAAAGGATATTAGTGAACCAGATGGGTTTTTCCAACAATCGACAATAGATTCACGGTCATCATTAGACTCTTAATTCCAGATATTTATCGAGTTCAAATTTAACCATCTGCCGTGGTGGGATTCGAACCCAGGTCCCCAGTACATTGTCTGGATTAACAGTCCAGTGATAATACCACTAGGCCATCACCTCCCCCGATACAGCACAGAAGGGGACTATTTGGCCCATCTTGTCCATGTCAATGCAAAGACACACAGATGCCCTTTCTAATCTCATCTTAATGCACACAGACCAAAGCACTGCTGCATGCAGCACTTAAGGTGCAGATCCAGGTACTTTCTGAAAGATTTAGGGTCTCTGCCTCCAGCTCCGGTAGCGATTTCCAGACACCTACAGAAGGAAATCTGCTAACCTCACCTGGTCAGGCCTACATGTGACTCCAGACCCACAGCAATGTGGTTGACTCTCAACTGCCCTCTGAAATGGCCCAGAAAGCTACTCAGATATATCAATTGGTACTCAGTCTCAAGAAAGAAATTAAACTGGACTGACCACACAACATCGACCTAGACACTGGAAAAGACAACAGCAGAAACAGCCCTGTTAACACTGCAACATCCTCTTTACTAACATCTGGGGGCTAATATCAAAATTGGGAGAGCCATCCCAGACCAGTCGAGTAACAGCCTGACATAGTCATACTCATAGAATGATACCTGTCAGACAATAACCCAGACACCGCAATCACCATCACCATCACCATCCCTAGATACATCCTGTCCAACTGGCAAGACCCAGCAAACATGGTGATACAGTAACGTACAGTCAGGAGGGTGCTGCCCTCAGGGTCTTTAACATTGACTTCGGACTCCACGAAGTTTCATGGTTTCAGGTTAAATGTGGGCAAGGAAACCTCCTGATTACCATGTCCTCCCTTGGCTGATGAATCATTGCTCCTCCATTCTGAACAACATTTGCAGAAAGCACTGAGGGTGCAAAGGGTGCAAAATGTACACTGGGTGGGGGATTTCAATGTCCACCACCAAGTGCGGTTCAGCTGCTAGACTGTGTTGTAATTAGTGAGGGAACCAACAAGATGGAAAAACATACCTGACCTCATCCTTACCAATCTGCTGGCCGCAGATGCATCTGTCCACGACAGTATCAGTGAGAGTGACCCTAGCACAGTCCTTGTGGAGACAAAGATCCATCATCATATTGAGAATATCCTCCATCTTGCTGTGTGGCATTATCACCATGCTAAATGGGACAGACTGCAAATAAATCTAGCAACGCAAGCCTGGGCATCCATGAAGTGCTGCAGGCCATCAACAGCAGCAGAATTATACTCTAGCACAATCTGCAACCTTGGCCTAGCAGAATGTTTTGGGGACACAGGTTTGAATCCCATCACAGCAGATGGTGGGATTTGAATTCAATAAAAAAAACTGAATTAACACTCTAAAGATGACTGTGAAACTGTTGTTGTCAGAAAAACTTATCTGGCTCACTGACATCCTTTAGGGAAGCAAACTGCTATCTTTACCTGGTCTGGACTACATGTGATTCCAGACCCATTGCAATGCACTTGACTCTGAACTCAATGCCTTCATCCTGTGAATGAATTTTTTAAAAATCCCCTACTCAATCATTACCATCAAGCCAGGTGATCAAACTTGGTTCAATGGAGAGTGAAGGATGGCATTCAAGGAGTAGCACCAGGCATACCTGAAAACAGGAAGTCAACCTGGTGAAGCCACCAGACAGGACTACTTGCTTGCCAACAGCATAAGTAGCAAGTGATAGATCTAAGCAAAACCACAACCAACAGATCAGATCTAAGCTTATAGTCCAACCAACACCAGTTGCGAATGCTGGTGAACAATTAAATAACTCACTGGACAAGGAGGCTCCACAAATATCCCCATCTTCAATGTTGGAAGAGACCAGCACATAGGTGCAAAAGAAGAGGCTGAAGAATTCACAGCAAACTTCAGCCAGATGTGCCGAGTGGATGATCCATCTCAGCATCTT